ATTTATGTTTATTTATACTGGAGACTGGAAGTATACTTATTTATACTTCCGCACATAATCACATAGGAATTGATTAAAACCACAATAACATGCCAGAACCTATTATTCTTTAGTAGAGGTAGTGCACATAATCACATAAGAATTGATTAAAACCACAAATGCAAATGCATGAAACATAGATGCAAAGCATGGATATGATTAAAAAAAAATATATGATGCTTATGCACAAATAAGGAAAGTAAGTAAAAGAATAGGATAGAAAGAAGCGGGGTGGAGAATTATTACAACACTTGAAAGAATAATTACAAACCAAATTAGAGAGGGAGGAGGAAAATATTATAACAAAATAAAAACCTCACAAAACACTCAAGTAAAAAAAAAAAACAAAATAGAAGTTTCATGCGCCTTGGAAACCACCATAAATTGGTCAATATCGGAAGATTATGCCGTTTTATCAAAAAGAAGTTAACCGTCTGGCCTAGGCCTAGCAAAACATGTTTTGTTGCAACACTGAGAAAAGAACAAACAAAAAATATGTAGGCGACTCAACTAACCACTTACGGTTAGCTTACAACAAAACTAATATACAACGTAAAACAATAAAATGACTATAAGATTGAAAGTGCAAGAAAATGAAAGAATTGAAAACTAACCGCTTCCAATTAAATTACAACAAAACAATATGAAACAAGAGCAAGAAAATAAATATGAGCTAAACTAACTACTTGGATTATAACAAAACACTACGAAATAAAAAGTAAGAAAATAAATATGAGCTAAACTAACCAGTTGGATTACAACAAAACGCTTTAAAATATAAAGTAAGAAAATAAATATGAACTAAATTAACCACTTCCAATTAGATTATAACAAAATACTATGAAATCGAAAGTAAGAAAATAATTATGAAATAGAAAATATAAGAAACTGAAACACTTGAAATTCACCTTCCAAAGAAAGATTGAACTTCTCGATTTCCAAACTTCATCTTGATCACTCTCAATGTTGTGAATTTTGATCTCAATCCTCAATTCAAGAGTTTGGAATTTGAGCTTAGAATAATGTTTTGTACAAGTGTTTGATCACTGTTTAATCTTCTTCAACGTAGCAAGACTACTCTCACTTTGGTCAAAGCTTTAGGACTTGGATCTTGAGTGGTGTTTGAAAGGAAATATGAGATGTATAGAGGCTTTATAACTTCACTAATTTGGAAAGACAACTCTCTTGCTTTTTTGGCCTTTTTTTTCTCTCAAATTCTAACTCAAATTTAGTATTCTTTCTACACTTCTCTTCTAATTCATCTCCTCAAACTCAAGACTATAGCTCTCATTATATAGGCAATGCTAGTGGAGTAATGGTGGAAGACAAAGTGGATCATTTAGAGAAGATAATGGAGCTAATTGGGCACTAAAATGGAGCATTATCCTCGTTGGCTCAAGCACTAGTCAATGAAGGATGAGTAAGCATGCATTTGGTGCAAAAATAGGTAAGAAATAGCATCACAAAGTGGCCCCACACAGTAAAAAAAACTCGCCCAATGTGCATAGGTCCCGACCGCAGTAAGGCAAGTTGCACTCGCGAACACATTGGTCGTGCCCGCAATGGTGCTACTGGTTGACCGACTAAGGTGGATTTTGTCCCTTTTTGCTCCGGTTCGGTTTTGTTTCGCTTCGATTTGGTCCCATTTCACTCCGGGTGTCCCACGGGGCTTAAACACTTGGCCGATATAGGCTTAGGGTTAGAAATAAAGCTCAAATTCCAAGCTCTCTTACTGATTATTTTGTGAGAAACACATTCTGATTGTCATCATCGGGTCATCAAAAGAAAGTGCCTAAGTCTTAAGGTTAGTCAAAATTGGGTGTCTACAATATTATGTGAATTTTTTTTTCCTGTGACTAATTTTTACTATTTTTATAACTATTTATAAAATTGAAATATGCTGTGCGATTAATTTTTTTTACACTAATTTTTGTAACTATTTTTAAGTTTGAAACGTAAACTGTTTGGTTGAAATTTTAAATTTTGTCTTTTATTTTTTTTTTAAAAAAAATTAAAAGTAGCCTGATAAAAAAAACATATAGTTTTCATTTTCATATGATTCTATTTTTGTTTTTAACGAAAATAATATTTGTATGTTGAATATTATTTTTATATTAATTATATAATTTGAGTTAATATTTTTATTAGTCTATACGTTTTTTCTTCGCAGATAAAATAATATTTTTTTATTTAAAAATCAATTTTAAAAAAATAATATAAAATATTAGAAATATTTTTGTAATATCTTTTTCATTTATAAATGACTCAGATGTATATATATATTTTTAAAGTACTTTGTAGGGTGCAAGTCCATTATGTGTGGGGGTACATGTTCATTATGTGTGGTGTCCAAGTTAAACCTATGTAGTGGTGCAAGTCTAGTCTGTGTTAGCATGCAAGTCGAATCTATGTGAGGGTGCAAGTTTAGTCTATGTGGTGTGCAAGTCAAATCTTTGTAGTTGTGCAAGTCTAGTCTATGTTGGCGTGCAAGTCAAATCTATATGAGAGTGCAAGTTTAGTCTGTGTAGGGTGCAATTAAATCTATGAAGGGTGCAAGTTGAATTTGTGTAAGAGTGCAAATTTAATCTGTGTGGGACGCATGTTTAGGCCTTGTTTGGGAACAGACTTTTTTAGTAATTTTTTGACTTTTTGGCTAAAATATGATATTAAAAAAACTAATATGTTTGGGATGAGTTTTTGATTTTTTTTATGAAAAGATGTGTAATAAGTAGAGAGAAAAATGGAATCTTTGACTTTTTTGTATAAGTTGTTGGCTTTTTGATTTTTTTAATGACTTTTTGACTAAAATCACCACTTGTCAAACGAGGGCTTAGTCTATGTAAGGATGCATATTCAGTATGCATAGGGTGTGCAAGTCAAATCTGTGTAGTAGTGCAAGTCTAGTTTGTGTTGGCGTGTATGTTGAATTTGTGTGGAGGTGAAAGTTTAGTCAGTGTGGAGTGCAAGTTTAATTTGTGAGAGGTGCAAGTTGAATCTGTGTAGGGATGCAAGTCTAATCTATATAAGACACAAGTTTAATCTATGTAGGGTGTGGGGTGCAAGTCTAATATGTGTAGGGATACAAGTCTAGTCTATGTGAAGTGTAAGTTTAGTTTGTGTGGGTGCAAGTCCTACTTTGTGTGTGGGATCAAACATGACCACTATTTTTTTATTATATTATTATTTAGGTTTGAGTTATTATTTGCGTGATTTGAATTAATATATTTTTATTTACATTTGTATTACTCTAAACGTTTTCTCCTACCAATATATATATATATATACTAATTAGAAAAGTAATTTATTATTTATATTAACTTAAGTCATACAAATTATTTTAATTCTATAAATTTTTATATATTTTAGATTATTAATTTAAATTTTTATTAAATATGTGAAATATTAGTTGCATTTTAAAATTTTAAATATATTTTTAGAACAATATCAATTTTATAAAAATAGAATTTGTATATTAAATATTAAATATATTTTAATAAAATAAAATAAATTTAAAATATATAGATAATTTTTTTTTATTTTGTTTTTTATTAAAAGAATGAGGTGAGTGTATGTGTGCTGGGATAGAACTAGGAGAAGATTATAAAGGGTCATGACCCCTCTGTCTCTGTGAAAATTTTATTTTCTGTAGTACTTCTAAATATATATATATATATATATATATATATATGTATGTATTATTTTAAAAATAAAATAGCATCTTAGTAAAAAAGATATATACTTCATTGTTTTTTCATCTTTTCTTCTCTGTTATTTTTCTAGAAAAAAATTTATTCATTCTATTAGAGATTGTTTATATGATATTTAAATTTTTTTTATGTGTATATATATAATTTATATATCATATTGTACATATATGTGTATTTGTCTATACGGTAAAAAAATATTATTTATCTTTTAACCTCTGTAGTAATAAAATCCTAATTTCATCTCTGTGAGAGAGAGAGAGAGAGAGAGAGAGAGAGTATGTGCAAGGCATATTAGTGAGTGTAAGAGTTAAGGGTAAAATCCGTTTAGTTTAATTTTATAATTATAATTTAAGTGTGAAATTGTGATTTTAAGTGTGGAGTTGTGAGTTCAATTTTAAAAAAATAAAAATTTATTTGGTTATGAGTTTTGAAAATATTTTTTGAGTTTTTAATTCTGAATTTTGAAAAGAATTTTGAGTTTTGAAAAGAGTTTTAAGTTGTATTTTAAGTATTAAGTTTTTGAATTTTGAGTTGTATTTTTGAAATTTTTCGGATTTATTTCTTTTAAATATAAAAAAACGTATAAAAAAAATTTATTTTTCATTTTAAATATTTATTTCATTTTTGTAAATATTTTAAATTCAAAACACAACTCCACACTCAAATCATAAGCAAACACATAACTCCAAACTCAATTCAAAAACTATTTTTAAAACTCATAACCAAACACATAATTCAAAACTCAAAACTCAATTCAAAAACTTTTTAATCAAAATATTTTTTGTTTTTTTTTTAAGTATTGGCCAAATAATTAGTTATGGTTTAGATATATATGGCCATCCAAATTTTTTTGAAATTAAAAAAAATAAATATTTTAAAAAATAAAATCATGATTTTAAAACATAAAATAAAAAAATATTTTTTTAAAATTTTTCTTTAAATAATATTTTAAAAAGAGTTTGGTTATGAGTTTTGAAAAGAATTTTGAATTAAATTTTGAATTGTGTGTTTGGTTACACATTTGGAAAAGAATTTTGAATTTTTTTTATTAGAATTACAATTCCAAAAATAAATCAAATTCAACCAAAATCATTTCAAAAATTTGATAAAATATTTAATAATTTATTTAAAATCCCTACTATGACTGTTTATTGAGATGTAGTCAGCATTAAGCTGTGAGAGGAGCCTAATTGTTATCGTTTTGTACTCTCCCAACCCTGCAACGGCTATATTCACCACCGCCCCCACCCAACGGTACATTTCTCTCACAAAATTGCAACGGAGACAAATGTTCCTCTTCCATCTTTTTATCCTCCTCTGTCCTCATTGTGATTAAGCTCACATCCGCTTTCTGCCTATCGCTCTCTGAAAAGTTTTGGTCACAGTTTCTGTCTCTCTCACTCTCTCTCGAATGGACAGTGGGAGTGCACCAGCAACAGCTAAAGTTCAGCATTTGACGAAGGCTTCATCAGATGAACTGCTAAGGAAATTTGCGGAAGTGGGTTCGGGATCCAAAGACAAGGCCACCGCGAAGAAGGAGCTGTCGCAGTTGGCAAAACGACGCCGCCACCACCGGAAAAAAATCACCAGAGAAAATGACTTTGGTGATGATGAGCAGTACTGTGAGAACCCCTCCTCCTCCTCCTCCTTAAGCTGCCGGGCCAGTTTGGTTGAGAGGAAGTCGCTTCTTCCTGCTGTGGCCGCATCCACTCGGATGTCGTCTGCGCTGATTCGGCGGCTGGGGATTGGGATTGGGAGGTCACGGCTCAGGTCCAGGGAGTTCAAGAACTTGTCCATTTTCGCCACAATTGACAAGGTTAGTAATTCTACATACATAATATCTCCTTTTTACGTGCTGTATATTTACATATATTCATATTAATCGTGCCAAATTTAGTTGTTTGAATTCTCAACTTATATATGTAGAATTTGATTCTCTTGTTACTACAGCATTGCATATTCCATTTTTGTGTTCAATTTGGCTTCTGAATCAGACTATTTAATCTTGGATTAGAAAACTAAGGCTGTCATTGATTTAGTAGTACGGGAGGGCCAACATCAATCATTTTATTCTCCTATGTGTTGGAGGGCTAAGAAGAATTTGAATCAAATGGAAATTGATTGGATGGGATTTTGGTGCGCTGAGAAGTTGATGTACAAGGAGGACTAGCTCCAACCTTCAAAATCACAATTGAAGAAATAATACCTATTGGGAGCAAATAGGTATTATACATATTGGGAGCAACTAGAATAGAAAGAACCCTCCTTGTGTGACTTGACTGCTTAGCAAAATCATAGAAGAAAAAATACATATGAAAGCAAGTCAAATCCAAACAGAGTATAAAGAAAAATCTTAGCCACAACATATCCAATTTTTTATAGGAAAACTTTTGACTTGAAGGATAGCTAAGGGACAAGCTTGAAAGAAAAAATCTTCCATTGTATGAAATTTGTGAGTTTTCGATCAACTTTGTTTCCATCTATTAAAAAATTGAGATCTCAGGTGGAAGCAGACACCCAATCTCTAGGGATTTTCATGGCTCGAGCAGTAGCCAACGATTTTGCAAATTCTAAGGTGGTTTTAACTTGGATTTTGGATGGGATTGGTCTTCAAGTCATCTCATTTATAAATACTCGTTCCATCCCCAACTGTTTGTCAATTTTCAGCATTCATGCCTTTTAGTAGGGTCAATAAATAATGTACTTTTTTTCCTCCCTACAAATTAAAAGAAAGAATAAATAAAAAAACATAGGTGATTTTTTTGGAATGTTTGGAATAGTTAAAATGGGCCAGCAATTTCATATGCACCAAAATAAATTTGTCAAATAAGAGAAGCATACATATTCGCTTGCACTATCAATTGATTAATATGCGTTTTACATCACTTTAATACATTTCAAGTTTATTTTGGTGATTTCCTAGTCAGTGGTGGATTGCGTTTAATTTGCGATGAATTCACAGAGTATCATGGATGCTTGATACTCAACAAACATCACCGATTTCCAGTGGTATAAAAAACACGCTAACAAGTTTTAGGATTCAACACTTAAGGCACATGAACTGGGTTGGGGTTGGGTTGTTTCTATTTTTTTTTTTTTCCCTTACTAATGGTGAATTGGTTGGCTACGGGGTCATGTGGTTTTTGTTCGTTAAAAAGGGAAAAAAAAAAAAAAAAAAAAAAAGGGAATCCTTTTGTGTGTCTAATTAATTATTATATTGATTGCAAAATTGATTGGCATAAAGCAAATTCGTACTAGTTTAATTGAATAAAATGAGCAATTCATAATCTCTGTCATGTTATGTTATCAATCCTAAGCAAATTCTTTTCTATTTTGAGGTCTAAATCTCCTCTAGACCTTATTCAAGTGCCAAACAACATTTTAAGTGTGAAGCAATTAGCACTTTATCTGAATCACTAGATCTTTAGCATTGTCAAATTAATTTTTTATTTGAAATGTTACTGCAATAGTCGGTTGACCAAAAGATGTGAAATAAAACCCTGTCTATAGATGAGGGCTTATTAGAGTCATATTTTAAGCCTGGCTAAGAAAGATTTATACAAGTCAACTAAAATTTGGGATATACGTAGATTTTGTTCCCTAGGAATGGCACTGTATAGTTACCAAAAAGCATGATATTTTGCATTTCAACTGCAGGAAACTTTCACCAGAGTAAATGTTCCCATAGAGTGGCTGCTATGATTTTTTCCACGGCGAAGCATGGCTGGTATTAAGGGTGATACATGTTAGATTAGCACAAGACTTTAATAATAAAGACTTCCTTTAGGAAAAACTGAACCTAGGTGTTGGTCAGCATGCAAACGGAAGGCTGTATACACTCACAAGACTTTAATCCTAAAGTATCAAAATTGATAAGACCTAAAGCACATATCTAGTACATCAAGTGTTTTGGGAAGGGTGAGATTAGAAATCAGAGAGAAAATTCATTTTACTTTTTTGGTTAGGTAAAATTCATTTTGCTTATAGTTAAAAGAGATTGAAATTTTGAAAGTACACGTTTTCTTTTGATTTGTATCATTATCGTTGTCATGATGATTGCACCAGCATGTGATTGTCATTACATTAGATAGCAGGATTGGCTGTGCTACGCCATCACTACCGCCACTCCATCACCATCATGATTTCATCAACTATCGGAATAGTCTCTATTTACATCTTGAGATTCATTAAATTATTGTGAACTGTAGCAGCTCAATGTCAACTTAATGTTTAACTGTGAACTGCCTCTATTTATTTCTTCATTTTATTGATTACTATTATTATTTTTTTATTTTATTTTATTTTTTTATTTTTTCTTTTCATGTAGACATGGCGTAAAACAGTTGACAGGGCTTCAAAGGTCTTCTTGGAGATGCATTACAACCAGCACAAGCGCTTGATAAATGATATTGCTTAGACCATGCTATTTCACATTATGGAAATTTTTATCTGACCTGGGGTGTTGGGAAGGAAAGTTTGGCCCTTGTGCACTACTAGCGTCTAACTTATATTTACTTATTCTTGTGTATGTATTTTATCACCACAGCAAAATAATTGTTGAATTTTGTGTCATACAAATTAAGTTTTGCCCTCAAAGTTGTCTTTTATGGACTTGTGTGATTTAAATTGGTCATCCAATTTTCCCATTATAATTTATAAAATCCAGTAAACATTTTGCTATGGAAATTTTTATCTGACCTGGCGTGTGGTGGAAGGAAAGCTTGGTCCTTGTGCACTTCTAGCATCCAACTTTTATTTACTATTCTTGTATAGGTATTTCTATCACCACAACGAAATAATTGTTGTATTTTGTGTCATATAAATTAAGTTCTGCCCTCAAAATTGTTTTTATGGAGCTGTGTGTGACTTTAATTTGATTATCCACTTTTCCCATTCTGAATTATAAAATCCAGTAAACATTTTGTTGTTGGTAAGCAATATTGATCTTGTGACAACCCTGTTAATTATTGGTTTTGAATGTTATTTAAGTGCTTTGTGTGAATTTGAATGCTTATTATGTGTTTAATATGATTTTTAGGTTCATATCTGTTAACCGTAGGAATATCTTTTGTGATTTCTATTATAATTTGAAATTGAAGGCCTTAATGACGTCAGAAGTTTGATTAAAATTTAATTCAGATTAAATTAACTAGATTAAATCAATTAAATTAAGCCTTGATGAATTAGTCTTAAGCTCTATTTAACTAACTCGATCCCTAATTAAGGCCCTAAGCTAATGTATGAGAAATGTTAATTAATCTCATTTAGACACAAAAATCTGCCGACAATTAAATTTAGAGAGAGAGGAAACTCAATTTTAGGGAGAAGAGCTTGGAAGCTTGGAATTTTGCTTGAGAATTGAAGAATTGAGGAAGACAACTTAAGAAATTGCTAGAATTAGTGTTCTTGAAAGCTTTAGGTATGTGTTTAATTCCTAATTCATGAACTGAAGTCAAAAAAGGCACTTTTTTCACACTTAAGCTTTAAAATAGTCTATTGGGGGCCAAAATTGTATAACAGTTACGAGAAGTCCTGGGGAACATCTCAAACACCTCGGAAGGGACCAATGTAAGTTGTGAAAACTTATGGAACTAGCTCGGGACTCTCGGTTTGAAAAGTATGTCAAAAAATGCACTTTTTAAACACTTATGCTTCAAAATAGGCCATTGGAGGCCAAAATCATGTAACAGTCACAAGAAGGACCGGAGAATACCTCCAACACCTCAGGAGGGACTAACGTAAGCTGTGGAAACTTACGGAATTGGTACAAGACTCCTGGGTTGAAAACTAAGTCAAAAAATTTACTTTTTTCACATTTATGCTTAAAAATAGGCCATCGGGGCCAAAATTGTGTAACAATCATGAGAAGGCCTGGGGAACACCACCAACACCTCGAGAGGGACCAACATAAGTTTTGAAAACTTACGGAACTCGCATGGGACTTCCAGTTTGAAAACTAAGTCGAAAAAGTCACTTTTTTCACACTTAAGTTTGAAAATAGGCCATCGGGGGCCAAAATCATGCAACAGTCACGAGAAGGACCGAGGAACAACTCAAACACCTCGGGAGTGACCAATATAAGTTATGGAAACTTATAGAACTAGCACGGGACTCCCAATTTGAAAACTAAGTCGAAAAAGACAATTTTTTCACACTTAAGCTTGAAAATTGGCCATCAGGGGAAAAAAATGTGTAACAGTCACGAGAAGGCCCAGGGAACACCTCAAACACCTCGGGAGGGACCAATGTGAGTTGTGAAAACTTACGGAGCTGGCACGGGACTTTCGGTTTGAAAACTAAGTCAAAAACGACACTTTTTTCACGCGTCAGCATGAAAATAGGCCTTGGTGGGCCAAAATCATGTAACAGTCATGGACAGGATGGGCTACACATCAAAAACCTTGGGAGGGAACAATGTAAGTTGTTGAAAATACAGAACTAGCTCGGCACTCCCCGTTTTAAAAGTAAGTCAAAAAATTCACTTTTTTCGCACTTAAGCTTGAAAATAGGTCGTCGATGGCAAAAATCGTGTAACAGTCACGAGAAGGCCCAGGAAACACCTCAAAGTCCTCGAGAGGGACCAATGTCAGTAGGGGAAACTTACGAAATTAGCATGGGATTTCCGGTTTGAAATCTAAGTTGAAAAAGGCACTTTTTTAACACTTACGGTTGAAAATAGGCCATCGGGGGCCAAAATCATGTAACAGTCACGAGAAGGCATGGGGAACACCTCAAACACCTCGAGAGGGACCAATGTAAGCTATGAAAACTTACGGAACTAGCACGGGACTCCCGGTTTGAAAACTAAGTCCAAAAAGGCAAATTTCTCACACTTAAGCTTGAAAATAGGCCATCAGGGGCCAAAATAGTCTAATCGTCACAAGAAGGCCCAGGGAACACATCAAACATCACGGAAGGGACCAATGTAAGTTGTGAAAACTTACGGAACTAGCACGGGACTTCCAGTTTGAAAACTAAGTCGAAAAAGTCACTTTTTTCACACTTAAGCTTGAAAATAGGTCATCGGGACCAAAATCATGTAACAGTCAGTAGAAGGCCCGAGGGAACACCTCAAACACCTCAGGATGGACCAATATAAGTTATGGAAACTTACGGAACTAACACGGGACTCCCAATTTGAAAACAAAGTAAAAAAAATGCACTTTTCAAACACTTAAGCTTGAAAATAGGCCATCGAGGGCCAAAATCGTGTAACAGTCATGAAAAGGACCGGGGAACACCTCCAACACCTCGGGGGGGACCAATGTAATTTGCCAAAACTTACGAATCTAGCACGGGACTCCCGGTTTGGAAACTAAGTCGAAAAAGGTACTTTCTTCACACATAAGTTTGAAAATAGGCCATCTGGGGCCAAAATCGGGTAACAGTCACGAGAAGGCCAAAGAAAACACCTCAAAGACTTCGGGGGGGACCAATGTAAGTTGTGTTACAGAACTAGTATGGGACTTCCGGTTTGAAGACTATGTCGTAAAAGACACTTTTTTCACATTTAAGCTTAAAAATAGGCCATCGGGGTACAAAATCCTGTAACAGTCACGAGAAGGCCCAAGGAGCACCTCAAACACCTCGGGAGGGATCAACATAAGTTGTGGAAACTTACGGAACTTGCACGGGACTCCCCGCTTGAAAACTAAGTTAAAAATTGCACTTTTCAAGCTTGTGCCACGGTATTAACATACTCTTAATATAAAACAGTTACACATGAAATATGACCCATACCAAATTGAATTCACTCCTATAGATGACGTTACTTTAAAAACAAAAATTTGGACGTTTATATTTTTTCTGCAGTTCTGTAGCAATTTGAGTCTTCTAAATTCACAGAACTTTGTATCCTTCTGTTTGCATGGATCCATTGACCTCTGTTCTGATTGTCACTCCAGTGACCTCTGTTTTGTTCTATTCTGTATCGTGGTTATGATTATTTGCTTATATAATTTCTGCATTTTGCTTTTGTTATTTAAAATTAATTATGTATTTCAGTTACCAAACTAATCTTTATTTAGCCAAATAATTATCCATGGTAATTTTTGTACCCTTATGCTCACTGTATAATATTTCTCACTCTGTCCTGTGCTTATAGTTATTAACCACTTTCAGGTGACGTGTCAAGACCAGTGCATGGGGTAGGCACAAGGCACTTTGTAGTCATAGTACAGCTCCGGTATTGCAATCGAATAGAAGCTCCAATGTATACATTTTTATTATACTTAAATAAAGATTTGGGTACCCTTTTATTTTACTCCGCTGTACTATTAATTTGTTATGACTTCCGTATTATCTTGTCGTGACGCCGAACCTTTGGGTACCAGGTTTGTGTTGTGACACATGTGTTCAAATTATTAATCGCTATTAATTTTTTTTTCTTTTTTTGTTTTAAATTTTATAAAAAAATTTCTGTCATTCTAGAATATAAGGACTTGAACAACAATATTTTTTAATATAATTTTTTTTTTAAACAAAAGAATAAAACATAACTTTTTTAGCACTTACCAAATATGGTAGATTTTGTTTTATATATATATATATATATATATTTTAAATCTAAATTATCAATTAAAGAAATTAAAATAAAGAATAAAGATATCTTTAGCTAAAATTGTTAAAAAGTTACTTTTGCTAAAATAAATTTGTAACGCCCTCAAATTTAAAGCATATGACAAACATACATATGATCCATAAACATAATAGAAAAGTTACATTTCATTTAATTATTTATTTGTTCTTAGAAAAGTTTCATTTCATTTGTAACACCCTTTCCATCCCCCGGGGGAGGGCTTGTGCCACGGTATTATTTCCCCCGGGCGAGGGCCTGTGCCACGAGTACCACAATTACGTTCAAAGAAAATTTGGACAATCATTCATTTATACATTTATACAAAACATAGCATTTCAGGGAACTTGTCATTTCTTATCATCAGGAAATAATTAAAGTTAAATATAACTTTACAAAGTTATTACTCACAACAATTGGTCGCCCCAACTAGATGGCAAAATGGCGCTTCACTTATCCTAAGTTGCGTGACCTACACGAATGCACATACAATTACCCACTTGAAACACACGTTCGAGTTATACATAAATTACTCTGTTTGTTCTTAGTGTGTGTTTAGCCATTAACCTCATTATGGAGTTTTAATCATGGCATAGGAATGCCTAGGATGGCATGAGGATGCAAAATGTGCTGGAAAATATTTTTCAAAACTTGCTGAAAATAGGGTCTACGCTCGAGCGTGGCTTTTCCCGCTCGAGCGGACATGACACAACGCGCTGTAAGGGGTTTTTTTGTTTTGGGCTGGGTTGGTGTGTTTGGGGGTTCACACAGGCAGACACACACACATTCATCAAAGACCAAACCACCATTGACACAGTGAAGATCTTCGATGCCAACCCCGACATCCTCCGCGCCTTCGCCAACTCCGACATCTACGTCACCGTCACCGTCGCCAACTCCGACATCCCCACCGTCTCCAAACTCTCCGCCGTCGTGTCCTGTGTGGCTAACAACATCCTCCTTTCTACCCCACCGCCAAAATCCACCGCATCGCCGTCGGGAACGAAGTCATTGCCACCACCGACAAAACCGTCATCGCCCACCTCCTCCCCGCCATGAAATCTCTCCACGTCGCCGTCAATCTTGCCGAAATATCCAGCATTCAGGTCTCCACACCTAATTCACTAGGTATATTATCAATCTCGGAGCCACCCAGTTCGGGTCGATTCAGGCGGGTTTTCGACCGGGTCATATTTGCCCCAATCCTTGAATTCCATCGCCAAACAAACACGCCCTTCATGGTCTGCCCATACCCGTTTTTCGGGTTCACATCGAA